GAGACATGCAGCCTCACCTAATTGTGCAGCCCAAGATAAGGAGGTTCCCCTCTACCCCACAGCTCCAGTCAGAGCAAGCAGACGTTCCCTTGACTGGTGGCGAATGCTTTGTACAGGCACGCGTATCAGACAGCAGAGCCAGTAATGCAAAACGACCATATGGCAGCGAACCCTGCTCCCACCTGCTGTCCTCTTTCGCTGTGTGTCTATCAGGAACTGCTGCCACCACAGTCAGCAGCAGGGTGGGCACCCTCACAGACAGCACAGGGGATTTCAATAGCATGGAGCTCCAGATCAAGTCCTGCATCCAAAATAAGCCATCCAAACTCTTCCCCGAGTTGGTTTGAGAGGCACGCATCTATTCTCTGGATCACCAGCCCTGCTGTCACCTCTGTCTGCCCTTTAGGGCACCACGTTTCATCACTGATTTCATCACTGCTACCTAGCTGTGTCCTTAAGGTGAGGTCCTGGGGTGAGTGCAGGTCTCAGCACGGAGCTGTGATAGTGCAGGCACAACTGCGATAGACCGGAGGTCTCTGCGTGAGCCAGACCCCAGATTACTTCCAAACACGACTGCCAGTCAGCTTGAAGCACCTAACACTGCCCTGCTCCCAATGGGGCCTGAAAAGATGTTTTGAAGACACTACAAAGAGCCACCTGAGAACACCCAACACTCCTACAGCACCCTAGGCACCGGCTCAGTGGGACAGAGCTAAAAGTGGGAAGTAACAACAAAATAAGGACACGCTGTTAAGAAAACATCTTTTGCAGTGCTGGAAACAAACGTGGGTAGCCAAAACCCAGAGAGACTCTTCGTCAAAAGCCACCCAGCCTGGGCCTCCCAAGAGAGGCAAGATCTGTGCTATGCCCTCACTGTGTCAGTCGCATGGGGGACTGTTCCTCACCGCAACAAATCCAAGTTAAGTCCCAGCCAGGCACCTGTGTGTTGGGATTTTCCTCACAGTCTGTTGATGCAGAACAATGGCACCGCCTGTGCAGCATTGCTGACCTCGCAGCCCGCGGGGCCGTATCGGTCGTGCGTGTGCTTTGCAATAAATAAGCCATCGGCACTCTGCCCACGATGGCGGCAGGGACACGCGTGCTGGAGCCATCGTGAGCGTCCCTTCCCGACGCTGTACAGCAGGTCTCACGCCTCTCGGGCTGAGCCGGCTGCTCACGCGTGTGCCCCATGTGTGCTGGCAACAGCTGTCCATCGCTTCCAACACTCTGCATGGGAAAGCCTCGTGTAGCTCCTCATTCTTCAGCTCAGGCAGAAGGTATGCTTGTCGGCAATGCCACAGCAAGCAGCACTACGGAGCTGGGGATCTTTCCAGATGCCCTGGAATTCATGTAGCGACTGTGCCACCTTGTGCCAGCAACATTTACCAATGCATTTTATTCTCTTGCCTCTTAAGATTTTAAAACCAGGGTGCTTTTGCTCTGACTTGTCTCTAACGAGGCCAACCAGGGCTCTACATCTCCTCCTCAGCACGGTCCTTCACTTCCTCCAGGTACAGAGGGTGCGTCCGTACCTGTGGCAAGGGAAGTGGCTCTCTGCTGCAGATCCTTTAGTTCGGCTCTCATCTCCTCTCTGCCTGTGCCAAATCAGATGGTCCCACTGACTCCAGCTCATGCTGCTGTAAATGAGACACCCACAATATGGCAAACTGCCATCATGGTCCTAATAATAGTGAGGACATTTTGCAACTGAACCACCTTAAGGGCTATTTGGATTTTTTTCAAATAAGCATTTTTATTCAGCCAGATACAAAGTGGCCTATATGGGAAAAAGAAATGTAGGACTTCACAAAAACCAGCCCAATACTGACTCCGTATCCTGAAACTCACTGGTTCAGTAAAGGATGCAGGGCTCACAGAGAGCGGACAACTGTGCAGAAACTTCAGTGTGATGCTCCAGGCCGAGTAGTGCATAAGCAGGAGAGAGCCAGAGGCAGATGGTTTTCCTCCTGTACCTGGTGAGATGGAGGTGGGAGCTCTGTGGACAGGAAGGGGCACATGCAGAGAGGAGACCCCAGGGTGATTCTAGGGCTGAAGACTTTGCTGACACAGATTCAAAGAGCTTAATCTTCTTAAACTTTCAAGAAGGAATCTGAGTGCAATACCGCTATAGTGAGCAGGTACATACACAGAAGGTACAGCACGCTATATAGGTTTTCACCTGGTGGAGAAAAGTAGGAAAGTAACAGTGGCTACAAGCTACTACTTTGTAGCTTGATGATTTCTACTTAGATGCCATGTTCACATCTTTACCCTAGAGAGCCATGAACTGCTGGACCATACCCCCATGGGATGTAGCAAGCTTGTCACGGCTTCCACTCAAGGGCAGTTGGATTTTGGTGAAACCTGAGGGCCTGTGCACAGTGAAACCTAATGTTCCTCATTGCCTGCAGGCTGCAGGAGATAGTCTAATGGCACTAAACTATGAATCCTCCTTGTGTTTACATTTTACAAATCCACAGATGCTAGATGACATTGTCATGCTAATGCAAGCTGTGCCTATCCCAAATGTCCTGCAGAGCCTTGCATGGGAGCTAGGACTGGCCAGAGGGCAGGTGCTGTGCTGGCCAGATGAGAGACAGATGTTTCAGTGATGCATGGGCAACTGCCAGGCATTCCCATCACCTGCAGCAGCACACAGGAGCAGAAATAAGCCCATGGGCACACAGGTCTGTCTCTACTCTGTGTCAGACACCCAGAACGTGTATTTGAATTCCCTTTTGTAAAGTGTTTCTGGTTAAAGCTTGGCCCTCCTGGGTGACTCCAAAGCTGGTGAAGCCAATGGCAAGACTCGCTCAGTGACAAAGGGGTCAAACAAGGACAAGGAAAAAGATACATCTAGGCAAGGCATGACTAAAAAGTCAGGGTTTATCCCCACTCTAATCCTGCTCTGCTGGGAGATCCTGGTCTCACTGCTGATGAAGTAGGACCTCGGCAGAGGTCCACACTCTCTGTGCAACAGGCTGTGATCATTTGCACACATTAAGGGTGTTTTGAGATGAAATACACAGAAAATAATTTTTAAAAATAAAGGCAAAATGAGATACCTCACACCTTCCCTCTTCTCCCATGGGCTTTTCACTGTGCCTCGTAGGGACTCACGAACACCAAGGCAAGGCCACTGGCAGGCAACAATGAGGGAAGGATGGGGTGCATATGGGAGGAGTCGAAGGGGCAGCCATGCATTATGCCCTTCCCTTGCCTTTCACATTCCCCAAGGTCCCGGCAAAGGAGCAGGAAAGGGGAGAACAGCAAAGGTGTGCTCAGAACAAAAACAGATCAAGACAAAGAAACCCAGTCAAAATAATATGGCCTCTGTGGCTCAAGCATTGCACAAAAGGAGGATCAGAAGTAAGCTGGGCTCTAAAAGGCAGAGATAACACCGAAACAGGGTGAGAGTGAGAACACAGGAGGGCAGAGAATAAAAGTCAATCCATCTACAGTGGGAGGAGAAAAGGAAGGAGGGGAAGGAGGAGAGAGAACATTACATTTTCTGGATTTGGGGTTTGGAGACTGGATTGTGATTTTTTTTCTTTTTTCATAACAGATCTCACACCTGATATTCCTCGTTCCATCCATTTCGGTTCACCAAGGGCAATGAAGAAATTCTCCTGCCTTTCGTATTCCTCCTCATCTACTATCTTAACCCTTACGGTCTTCCTGTAGGGACAACAAGAGAGACAACCATGTACAGTGGGTCAGCCGGCCGGAGATGAGGTGGCAGCGGCAGTAGCGGTGGTGGCGGCGTGGACTCCTGGCACGCGGCCCCTTCCCTGGCAGGGCGGTGCATGTCAGCCTGCCTGCTGGAATCGGGGCATCCGTCGCAGCTGCTCCTTGGGGAGCGGGAAGGTATTAGGAGGAGAGGGGGGCTGGCAAGGAGGTGAGGAGGGTGGGAGAGGGGTGAGGAGGACCTTGCTGATGGTTAGCGGGAGGAGGTGACTTCTGCAGCACATTTTTCTCAGTGTCACATGGTAATGGAAAGGGTATCGTCTGCCTGGAAATCACCAGGGACCACCTTGGGGTACCCACTGTGTATTAGCTGGAAGCTCAATTGCTTCTGCTACCCTCACAATTAATAATAAACCTGCAGGGGCTCTGGGCTGGGAGCCTGAGGAGAAGAGAGAGAGGCGGGCACTCACATACACGTTCCCCACACCATGGGGGTGCGGTGGTTCTCTGCCAGCGAGCTACAGCTCTGTCAGCTGCGAAGGAGGCTGATATTTCTAATTTACATTTTTCAAATGGCACAGCTTATTGGTTTTTCTCTTTGATAGCGTCTGCCTCTTCCCCCTGACCTGTTCCCTGAGCGAGGATGCAGCTTTCCTGAGAGCAGGCAGCTTTGCTGGGACCTTGCGGGGCACACAAAGCTGCTGCGAGCCCTCAGACAAACCAAAGCGGGGTGTCAGCTCCTCCCTGCCCTCATCTCCCACTCCCAGCGCCACTCTGCAGCAACCAGACTGGAGGCTTCACAGCTTTTGCTGAGTCCTCAGAAATTACAGGAGCTGCTTCTCTGCCGGGCCTCGATTCCTGTCTCTTTCTAACATGGGTCTGACTGGGATGTCCTGTAGGACTAGGGCCAGGCGATGATCCTCTGAGATACTGGATGTGTTTCCAGCCAGCATCTTCTTGCTGACGCTACAAAATTTGCTCAGACCCTCCAGCAGGGACGGCAGAAGGTCCCTCTCGAGTTGCTGCAGAGACACCAACACATTGGACTGCTCTCCATCCTTCTCTCTCCACCCTCCTCACCACTTAGCCTCTGCCCGGCCCCAGCATCGCTCCCCCCATGGGTACCATGTGACACGGTGTGTGCGCACAGCAGTGTTTAGGGCAGAGCAGTTGGAGACAGAGAGACGTCAGAGGAAGAGGAGAAGAGGAGGAAGGAGACAGAAGAGAAGAGGAAAGAAGAACATTAATGTTAGTCTGGAGGGCCAGTACTACACCTTTCTGTAAACTCATATCCACCATGCGGGGGCTCATCAGCTCAATGAAGAAATTCTTGGTTTTTTCATACTCCTCATCATCAATTACCTTGATGTGAACTGTTTTGCTGTGGATGGAAAAATAGTGAGTGTCATAAAGCGGAGAAGGGAACAGAGAAGCAACAGTGGAGGAAGGTACAGAGTTGAACAGGGACATTAGAGAGTCAAAGTTTTCTCACCCACTGAACAAGCTCAACACGGCCCTTGAGAAAGGTTAAAGCCCAGCTCCAGCAAGTGACACCAGACAATTTTCTGTTTAACCCAAAGGCATGATGGCAGTCCACACTGTGCAAAGCAAAATCAGATAAAATAGTGTTGATCCCCTGGCAAACCATCGAGGAGCTCAGGAGCCGCCCGCACGGCAGCTCGCGGCTTAGCTTACGGGCAAGGGGCTCTGATGGCCGGCAGAGAAGCAGGCACCCCTCACCCTGCTACCTACCACGCGCACACACACACGCACGCACACGTGCAAAAGCAGACGCAGGAGCACACACACCCCGCAGGCACCGGGCTGCTGCCTCTCTGCTGGCAACATCTGCCTGCCAGGCAGCTGCCCGCTGACCACGTGGGCCACGGGGAAACCCTGCGACCTGCAGCTTGGAGATCTGGGTGTCAGAGTGAATCCCGCTCCCCACAGCTCTATGGCCACATATAGTCCTCCAGCTACAGCCTCCCCATGCTCCCTGCCCATCCTCAACATTCAGATCAGGCCCCAGTGCATTTTGTGCACAACTGGTCTTCGCTGGGGATGGAAAGGAGGAGAAGAGCAGGATCAGCAATCAAAGAGCCTGGAAAAATATCCCCAAGCTGCAAATCAATCTGTGGCTCAGCCAGGAGCCCCTGGCATTAAATACACCCAGGATCTTTGATCCCACAGCGCTTCAGAGTTCACGTTGTCCAGCCCTGCATCCTGGGGATGCTGCCACTGCAAGCAGCCCTCTGAACAGGAGAGTTGATTAATTGTCATCGCTGCAGCTTGTGTTCCTACTAATGTCATTAACAACCACAAAATTATCCAGTCCTCCTACAAACTTGACTCTCAAGTCATAACTGCTTCTGCACTCTGACTGCAAAAATCCCATTTCCTGTTCTGGCTCTTGTTTTTGGCATGGTCCCAAACCCTGTCTTTCAAATGATGGCATACAGCATAGGGGGAGGAGTTTGGACAACCTCTGCTATATCCATCAGTGAAGGAATATGCAAGAAAAATCACCTCTAATTCTTCTTCGTAAGCTAAATCAGCTTTATTTTGGCCAGTGCTTGCTCTACTTGTATCCTGTGTTAATGCCAGCAAGCCTCCTTTCCCTCCTCTAGATCCTTCCTCTCTCTGCTAATCCAGCCTGAAGGATGTAGGATTTTAAATGATACGTCTCTGGTGTAAATGTTGGTGCTCGGCTAAGACTTCATCACAGGGAGTTTGTTGCATTTTCATTGGAGATGTTGACCGAATTTGGCTTTTGAACCAGATGTTGTCTGGGCCCCTGGTACTTTGCAAAGCTTGTTCAATTTGCTGAGTTAAACCTACAGCTGATTCATAGCTCTGATCTTTTCCTTGCTCATAGACACTACAAAACAGAAAGTGGAATTTTCAAAAGCAGCCAGTGCTTCCTGAACGTGGGTTGCTTTTTAAAATCCTAGTCATAATTACCATTGCTTATGGTTCTTTTTTCCATTCTGGAGTTCTAAATTACTCAGTATTGCTTGACTGCAAAAATTTGGAAAAAAACCCACACACTCTGTTTCCCGGGGGCCAGCTCAGGTATCATGACAAAGCTATTCTAAGGCTTTATGCAATGAATATAACGCATGCATATCGTTTGAGTTTGTTTTATACAGCAACTTTCTTTTCCTTTCTTTGTTTCCTTCTTTCTTTCTTTTCTTTATGAGGTGACTCTCCCATTTCCCTGAGTGGTGTGTGCACACACCAGAGTGGAAGAGAAATGCTCTTCTAATGAGGACACATGCACAGCAGATGATCTCCCCAGCCACGTGCTGTGTGTATGGAAAGCCTGATGTCTGTGAGCCCCTCATCGCTGTGATGAATACTCAGAGCTGTGGACTCAAGGAATAACAACTTACTGTGTGCACATTTTGTGAAGTACAGAGAGCTCTACTAAGTAGTCCCACAGCGGTGAAATTTCTTTATAGCAGTCTTTTTTTAATATTAAAAAAAAAAAAAGTCAGGAAAGAGAAGGAAAACTGACTTTGCAGAGCAAGTCCCCGTGGGTCAGGATCCCGAGAGAGTGAACCCTCAGGACTCCTAGACCAGCTCAGCTCTGTAGCAAACTGGACTGTTACCACATCCTTAAGTCTCAGGTGGCTTTTCAAAAAAGGCTGCCTGAATTTGGTCACCAGTCCAGTAAATTGCTGTTTTACCCCTTTGCTACAAGCTACAGGGAGAAAAGGACATTTTACCTGGCTCTGAAAGAACAGGTGAGGGGCAGAACTTCCACAGACCGAAGCCACGGGTGCCCTGCCCAGGCATGGGCAGCACCTCACACCCCTCACCCAACCTGACTGAATCCCAAAAGAGGAGGAGGTGCCCGACCTCTTCAGCTCTGCTGAGAGGCGGCGGGTGCTCAGCAGGTCCACCATGAAAGCCCTGGGGACCCAGCGCAGGAGCGCAGAGGTGTGGGCTGTGTGGCGTGGGGATGCCGGCGCTGCCTGCGGTTGGGGGGCAGCGGATGGAGGG